CGCGTGATAAATCCACACATCTGGTCTCATACCGAGTAATGGTCATGCTATTCTGCTGAAGGCGCTCAAACTGGTTGCGAAATCCTCTCTCTGAGTGATGTTAATGAACTTCTCTAAGAACAACTGTGAAAACTGAGCTCAAGTGAGAATAGGTGAACCTGTAGGCCTGCCCACCTGCCACCACCTCTTGGAAGAACCAAGCATCTGAAACATTATGAAGTCAACTCCATTGGACTCCACTATGCCCATGTTACGCAATATCTCATGGCAATGGTCTATGAAATCCTGGGGGTCCTCAAAAGGTGTACCACCAAAGCAAGGGGAAACAAGTTCGTAAACTTGTCCAACATATTCAGCTCCTTAGCTAGCATCACGGGTTTCTCCTTGGGTTGTGTAGCAATAACGGGCTGAGCTACCCCAACTGGTAAAACTACTGGTGTCTGATACCCATAATCCATATGCTCTTGAGTGTGAGTAGCGGGAGGCTGGACTCCTCCCCTGGCCTGAGAAAAGGTTGGTGCTACAGGGAATACACCAGCTTGGGCCACACTCTCCATAAGACCAATCGGGCAGACTAGGGCGTCCTGAAGAACTGGGGTAGTGATGAACCCCTCGAGAACCTGAGCTGGTCCTACTAGCTCGGTTGGCACATGGATCTCCCCCTCCTACTCGATCCGAGGTTCGACAATATGTGTTTCAATGTGTGCTCTAGGCTGACCTCTGCCTCTAGCTCTACCTCGACCCCGGCCCTACCCCTGGTAGTGGTAGCATCCCTGGGCTCCGACTCCCGATCAACTATGGTAGTAGTACGGGTACTCACCATCTTTGAGAGAATATGAGTAAAATGATTCAAACTCAATGATAGAATAAAGTCGCAGAATAGAAAAAGAAAAATGTGAAATTTCCTAAAGCCTTATAGCCTCTAGAAGATAAGTACAGATATCTCTGCACCGATCATCAAGATTCTACTAAGCTTGATCATGACTCGTAAGACCTAGGAAACCTAGTGCTCGGGTACAAACTTGTCACGACCTAAAAATCCCAACAACGAGATCGTGATGAAGCCTAACATCCACTTGCTAGTCAAGCCAACATTAGCTAATCAGTTATCCAGTTTGACAATTTGAAAGTGAATGATTAAGAACATTAGAATGAAATAATTGTAATATAATAATCTGAAACTAACGCAGTCTAGTCTAAACATAGAAACTGGTGCCACAAGTACATGAGATGCTAAAAGTACTATAAATAAAGTCTGAATTAAAATAGAACTGTCTGAAATGAAATAAATAGTATAGTAGATAAGAAAGGGACTTTAGGGCCTGCGAACGTTGTGCGGCTCTATCTCAAGTCTCCTGATGAAACGGGTCCGAGAAAATCTCCACTAAGCGCCACTGGGTCCAATACCAGAATCTGCACAACAAGTGCAAAAACATAGTATGAGTACAACCGACTCCATGTACTCCATAGGTGCTGAGCCTAAAATCGACGAAGTAGTGACGGGGCTATAACAAGGCACTCAATATAAACCTGTGCGAGCATAATTAGAAAAAACGATAACGGAATAGAGAAGCAACAATTAACAAGAAAATCAGATTAAGAAATACACAATAGAGGGCCCCAGAATATCATCTATGCTAAGATTCACAACACAACACAGAAGCGGAATCAACAACCAAGAACAATCGTAATATAACTTCTCCATTGCAGTGAGTAATCCGGTCCACGCCTATATATACCACTACCGTAGCGGTGTGCAACCCAATCCCATATATAATCTCAATACCGTTGCAGCGTGCAACCCGGTCTTATCTATAATCTCAATACCGTTGCATCGTGCAACTCGATCCCACTATCACATACATATTAGAATAATACAACTATCTACGAGGTATCTCACAATATAACACAAAAAAGGAAATAAACAAATAAAGTCTCTAAGACAGTTCAATGTACATAGTAAAGTGAAATAGACTAAGTAAGGCAATTAAGCAAGTAAAGACATATGACAAGTAAAAGCAGCTAACTAACAACATATAAAAGCAATAATCAAGTAAAGGCGGTCGGAGATCAATTCTATGAGAAGGAGCTTAGCCAAACATACCTCAAATTTGCCTCTTAATGATACCACAATGATCCATCACACTAAACAACTTCAATCTACAACAACATAATCCAATGCAACCAATATTAGTAGCAAATTCCATAATTTTTTGCCGTCTAGTCACTTTTACCTAGTAGGCGGGGCAACTCTTCTCTCTCATGAAAAACCCTACGCCGAACGCCGAAACCCTAACTTTCATCAGGCCACTGGCCAGCCTCCTTCTGAGGTTGGTCAGTCGTCCACAAACCCTAAATAGCCTTCCCAAACCCTACTTCGATCCCTAACTATGCAAAATGTTATAGCCCAAGAATTAAATGCCCCCATGCACGTAGCCGCTCTAAACCTAAAGCCTGTTGAATACCTACATGGAGAACTAACGGTGCGATGGAAGAAAACATAAGTTGAGCGATCAATAATGCAACAAGGATTGCATCTTACAGTTTTGGGCAAGTTTGCCTATGGAAAACCAGTAATACAGGAGTTAAGGAAGGTTATGCCAATTCAATATGAGCTAAAAGGCCCATGCTCAGTAGGTTTGATTGAGGATACACATGCTTTGATAATGTTGTCGTTAATGGAGGATTACATGCACTTGTTGTCCAAGCTTAGCTTTTTATTTGAAGGCTCATGGTCATTATTGGCAGATGAGATGTACTAAGTGGAGCCCATGGTGGAAACCTAACAAGGAAACTCCCATTGCAATTGCTTGGATATCATTTCTGGACCTTCCTCCCAAATTGTTTGGTAAGGACTTCATGTTTTCATTAGCTAATGTAATTGGTAGGTCTCTTCATGTTGATTTGGCCACTCAAAATGGCACAAGTCCTAGTTGTGCTAATGTCAAAGTAGAGGTGAATTTGTTAGCTACACTACCTCAAAGGATTAAGTTCATTGAAGAGGAAGATGAAACTGGTCCTGAAGTATCAGAATGGGTGAAGATCAAGTACGACCACTTGCCTAAATATTGTAAAACTTGCAAGAAACAAGGCCATAATGAGAGTGAATGCTGGGTGATTCATCCAGAGTTTCACAAGAAATTTAATGAAGAAGGTGGTGATCAAGGAAAGGAGAAGAATATTATTGTGAAAAGTGACGTTGTTAGAACTACGACAACATCTACGAAGGTCCTAACAAGTGGTAAAATACTGGGCAAGCAAGTGCCAAATGCTACAAAGAATGAGTGGATGCAAAGGATGAAGAATAAATATCAAAGGGACAGTATTATATAATTGAAGAGGCTGGGAGTGGAGATGTTACGAACTCTTAGGAGTTAAAGGAGACGAAAAGCAAGGAATAAACTGGAAAATCTGATGATGTTGGAAAGGAAAAATCTAATGCTCTAGAGCAAACTAGTAATGAGTTTGCATTGTTAGAAGAAGGTGAGATTGAAGTTCAAAAATAAATAATGAAGGAAGCTGTGGAAAAGGTGTTAAACAAGGAGAAGGTTGAGGCAAAAAAGGTGAATCCTGCTTCTACTGGGAAAGGTACTCCAAAAAGGCAGGAGTTCAAAGTCCGGCAAATAAAATTCCTAGTCCTAGTGATGTTGGGATTGGGATTGAGGAGACAAACAAAAAGGAATCCACAATTGAGTGGGTTCATAGGAGATTTGCAACGAGTAAGGAGGAACTGAGAGAGATGAATGTTACATTGAATCATTCTTGTCATGAAATCCCATCGCAAACCTATGATGATTCAAACGGGAATGAAGCTAATACTGAGGTCAGTTCTGATAGAAGGTTATGGAGTGATGAATTTGAGATCATCGAGGTTGAAAATATGACAAACAATAGTACAAAAAGCAAGGAAGAAAGATGCATCATGATTTAGAAAGAAGCATTAATAGTAAGCCCACTATCTACAGTAAACCCTAGAATTGTTGAAACTAGGGTTGAGGGTGGAGAAGGGGCTAATCGATCATTAACTACTCTAATGACCGCAGGAGGTCAAGGAACTTATAAGGAACTTGGTAATGCAATTGGATCAACTAGAGAAGCCTCAGCTAAGAAGAGAACCAATGGAACAACAACTCCTAGAGAAACTGTTTAGATTTTTGATCGGTCTAGAGGGGTTCCGGTGGAGATTTTGGGGCAGGAAAAGGTTGACAAGGTATATGTTAATTTCTCTGATGATACAGTGATGGCAAATCAACAAATAGCTCAAGGCAAGACCACTGAACTCAATGGAACAGTAAAATTTTGGCAACTAGCTACAGTAATTTCTGGGAACCCTAATCTGGGAGATATGTATACACTTCAATTCAAAGCAATTCAGGAGGCTATGAGTGAAAAGGAGTTGAATGATGGGGTGCTGAAGGAAGTTACAGATAGGGCCCATGATCAAGTTGAGTTACCTGTCAATACAGGAATTTGTGAAACTCGCCATAGCAATAATGCCATTCGAATCGCTGCACCTACAATTGATGATCCTAGACTATTAGCTGGGAAAACATTTAGTGTCACCAGTGGCATACTGGCAAAGGGAGTTCTCATTAACAACAGTGGTGAAAAGGAGCTTGGGATGATTGCGAAAAGCCATGAATCAAATTTGGTAGCTCTTCAAGTGATAGGTGATGACAAGGACGACCAAGAAGATTTGGGTGAAGATATTGAGGAAGAATCGACAGCTGCAAACTTCCAACAAAGAGCCAGAGCTGGGGACATATCACCGAATAGTGTGGAAATGAAGAAGTCAACTGGAAAGCCTGCAAAGAAACAAAAGAAAGACAACAAGGACAGTGTACCTCAAATGGTGCAACCAAAGAGGACTGTGCTCTCTACTTCCAAATAATCATATGGATAATGCTCTAGTTTGGAATGTGAAGTCGATTAACACACAAAAAGCTTTCAATAGGTTGATTAACCTACATAGAAAGTACAATTTCTATTTGATAGGTTTGATGGAACCTTGGCAAGAAATTAATAAGCTAGAGGAGTATAGAAGGAAGCTAGGGATTCATTCTGCTTATGCTAATGTGAATGGTAAGATATGGGCTTTTGTGGATGAAGATACAAATGTTGACATTCTGATGAACATAGAACAACAAATGACACTTAAGTTGTTTCACAAAAATCTGAACAATGAATTATATGTGACATTAGTCTATGCCAAATGTGATCCTACAGAAAGAATTGAACTGTGGGATTTAATGTATCATTTAGCCTCAGATATGGAATCTCCTTGGCTTGTTGGAGGAGATTTCAATGTTATTCTATCTGAGGAAGAGAAATGTGGAGGACTACCTATTTATTTAAGTGAAGTAGAGGACTTTGCACAATGTGTAGATGCATGTGCATTATATGACCTAAGCTTTAAGGGGATGTTGTGCACTTGGTGGAATGGGAGATCTGACATTGACTGCATATTTAAGAGGCTTGATAGATACTTTGCAAATCAACAGTTCCTTGACCTTTTCCCAGCACTTGAAGTAGAACATCTAATCAAGTATGGTTCCTACCATGCTCCCCTCCTACTTTCCTATAACATTGATACAATCCTGATTAAGAAACCTTTCAAATTTCTTAATTTTCGGGCTAAGCATGAAATTTTTTAGAAGGTGGTAAAGGAGAACTGGGTGACTGATGGCATGGGAAATCCATTTATTCTATTTCACAACAAGTTGAAGAAGGTAAATGAAGCATTGGCAATGTGGAGTAAGGAGACCTTTGGAGACATATTTAAGCAAATTGCATGACTGGAGGATGTCATTAAGGTTCATGAGGTGGAGTTTGAGTTGAATCCAATAGTACAAAATGAAAAGGCTAATGTTAGAGGTAAAAGGAAAAGGCTACAGGCCAATAGTATACTGGATGATAATGGAAATTGGATAGTCACAAGAAGGAATGGCTAAGGAGGCAGTCGACTGCTTTCAAGCACAGTTTACTGAAGAAAATATTCCAACAAACTTTGACATCATACAACATGTTCCAAAGATGATTACTGAAGAGGAAAATGAAAGATTGTGGGCTAAATCTACAATGGAGGAAGTCAAGGCAGCAATATTTGACTTAAATGGATATAGTGCCAGTGGTCCAGATGGATTCACTGGCCATTTTTATCAGGCTAGCTGGAAAATAATATGTGAAGATGTGCTCAATATGGCTAGGGCTTTCTTTTGTGGTGCTGAGCTTCCAAAATTCATCACTCACACAAATCTTGTATTGCTGCCCAAGAAGAAGACTGTAGCTACATTTTCAGACATGAGGCCAATCAGTTTGAGTAGTTTTTCTAACAAAATCATATCCAGAGTAGTTCATGAGAGATTAGTAGATCTACTGCCTTCTCTAATATCTCCCAATTAGGCAGGTTTTGTTAAAGGAACGAGCATTGTGGAGAATATATTATTAACTCAAGAGATCATAGCTGACATTAGAATGAGATGATAGCCATCTAATTTTGTTATCAAATTGGACATGGCAAAGGCTTATGATAGAGTCTCATGGTTGTTTTTGACAAAGGTGCTGAGGCAAATGGGTTTTGGAGAGGTGTTCATTGACATGATCTTTAGGTTAGTGTCCAACAACTGGTACTTTGTTCTTTTGAATGGCAGGCCAATGGTTTGTTCAAATCATCAAGGCGAGTTAAGCAAGGAGATCCTCTTTCTCCTTCATTATTCATTCTAACAGGTGAAGTACTTGGAAGAGCCTTGGATGCCTTGTTTGACAATCCTGACTTCATAGGATTTGGTATGCCAAAGTGGAGTCAAAACATCAACTAGCAGATGACACAATTACTTTTGTTCTTCTCACTATGGGGTAGTGGAGCTTACCATGAATGTATTATAGGAATATGAGGCAGCTTCAGGTCAGAAGATCAACAAGGAAAAGTCCTTCTTTTATATGCATGAAGGATTGCCTGCAGATGAAGCCAACACTTTCCATTTGATCCCATAATTTCAAAGAAATCCCTTCCCATTCACATATTTGGGATGCCCTATAGCCTGCAACAGGAGGAAGAACGATTTCTACAAGGGCATCCTTTTTAAAGTTCAGGAGAGGCTATCATCATGGAAAGATAGGTTATCATCAATTGGTGGCAGGGCAGTTTTGATTACACAAGTGCTTGAGAGCATGCCAATTCATCTCTTGTCAGCTCTGATCCCACTAGCATATGTGATCAATCAGTTACACAAGATGTTTGCTAGGTTCTACTGGATCAATTCAGGCAATGGAAAGGCTAGACATTGGGCTTCATGAGACAATCTGTGTCTGCCTAAAAGTGAAGGAGGTCTTGCTTTGAGATCCTTACATGATGTGGCTAAGGAATTGTTTGCTAAGCTGTGGTGGAACTACAGAACAAAAGATACACTATGGTCTACATTTATGAGGAACAAATACTGTAAGAAGATTAATAAGGTGCTAGTCCCTTGGAGAAATGGATCCCTGGTTTGGAAGAAAATGCTACAAATGAGAGAGGAGGTGGATCATCAAGTGTGGTGGCAGCTGAAGAATGGAAGCTCTTACTTCTGGTATGATAATTGGACTGGACTTGGTGCTCTTTACCATGCTTCAGGTCCAAATCATTGGTGTGATGAATTCATAAAACATGTGGATGAGGTGGTGAGAATAGGACATGGAATGAAGTGTTGTTGAGGGAGCTATTGCCTGAGGAGTTAGCTGACCATATCTTTGAGACGATCACACCTTCTGCACATCACTCAATGAAGGATAAGCCCTTGTGGAAGCTAGAAACGAATGGCTAATTTACAGTGAAGTCTGCTTGGCAATACATAAGGAAGAGAAGAGATGAGAGCAAGCTATACAAGTTCTTTTGGGTGAAGGGACTGCCTTTTAAAATTAGCTTCTTCATGTGGAGGTTATGGAAAACAAAGCCTCCTTTGGATGATTGGTTCCAAAGGTTGGGATACATTATAACTTCAAGATGTTGGTGTTGTAGGCATCCTAAAGAAGAAACATTACCTCATGTCTTCTTGACATCTCCAGCTACTAAATTTGTGTGGAATTATTTTGGGGCTCCTGTTAGGATCAAAACACAAGGGAAGCAATTGGTACAATTGATAAACTAATGGTGGAACGAAGCAGGAAATACAAGTTTGAAGGCAGTATATAAAGCTATGCCAAGCTTGATTGTTTGACACTTGTGGGAGAGGATGAACTCCGGAAAGCATGGGAAAACAATATCTTTTAATAGGAAGATTTATCAGATTTCAAACTCCATCCAAATGCTGCTGAAAGTGAGAAGACCAGGCATCAAGGGTGTCACAGCAAATTGGCCTGACCTACATGGGAAGTTAGCCCATCATGTTTCAAAGCTGAGATATACAAAGGTTATATGGCAATTACCTATTGTGGATTGGATAAAATGCATTACGGATGGGGCTTGTAGAGGTGACAATGAAATTGCTTCATATGGTTTTTATATAAGAGATGGAATATGAGACCTCATCTATGCCCAGGCAGATGCAGAGGAGGCAACAAACAATATAGCTGAGGCACAAGCAATTCTGGAGGCCCTAAGGTACATTATTTAAATGCCATTCCCTCCATGCATAATTGAAACTGATTCTCTACTTATAAAGAATGTGCTGGATGATATTTAGGAACCACCTTGGAGCACGACAAACCAGGTAGATGAAATAAAATTATTATTGTCTAGGGATGTATTCCAGCTAGCTCATATACTGAGGGAAGGCAACAAGTTAGCTGATCATCTAGCTAACTTGACCTTGGACCAGCAACATATACAACAGGTACACTCATGTCGGGAACTAGACATTCAAGGGAGGAAGATAATGAACAATGACAAACTTCAAATACCATACTTAAGGGTAAGAGTTGCCAAGCCAAATGCTAATTAATGAAGGAACTAATTGATATGGAGAGTGAAGGGGAGATAATAATAATGAAGAGGAGGAGGAGAAAGTATTATGGACGAATGAGGTAAATGATAGGGGAAGGAGAAAACATGACCCTTCCAACTCAAATCCTAAGGGAGGAGAGGAGGAAGGATTTTTTCTCTAACATGTTTGTTAATTTTGTAGGTACCTTGGAGGGGGTTTGGCTCTATCTTTTGGCCATACCTAGTAGGGTGATATTAGTATATTTGATACTCAACCCCTATAGGTGCAACCACTACATAGGTCAGCACGATTATTCTATAAAAAATGCAAAGAGATGTTTGCGCACAAGCCTATGCTACATGAACCATTACCATGTTCACTGTGGAGGAAACAGAAAGAGTTACACTAGGAAATGCATGTCCCTTTGCATCTACCCCTTCTTGAGGATCACACAAGGTATGAAACACACAGTCCATTAAGTCTCAAGAGCCAGTGTTACACGCAAGGATTGTCTACTGCCCACATTAGGTAAACTTGGCCATGGGTTGTACAGCGTTGGGTGGGCAATTTCAGCGAGTATTGGAGGAGCTCCCATGCACATGATGCATCTACTACACATAAGGAACCTACATATAACAGGTTTGATACCAGATTGTCCTGGTACGATCATGCAACTTGGTGACAAAGTCGCAACAACGTCCCTTCTGACTTGAACTGGACAGGTATCTTAGAATGCATTTCGTGAAAATTGGGGAACAAGCAGTCCTATTCAAGTTTAGATACCAATTATGGACATCACATGAAGATCCCACTTGACCAAGACACCAAGTGCAACTACCCAGATTCAAACGATGAGAATGCAGTCCTTTCAAAGAGGTGCTGCAAGTTGAAGTCAGTTAGATTGATTCAAGATTTATGGTTATTAAATCTTTTTGTACTATCAAAGGTTTGTATCACAAAAGACTTTGATATTAGGTTCCATGTACTTTCATTTTTGCGCACTTATATTTTGTAAGACCTCCAAACACATGTTGTTTTATTTTTGATTATTTTAATAAAAAATACCTAGGCAATCAGCCTAGTGGCACATTTGCCTAAAAAAAAAGTAAAGGTGATCAATAAATGAAGGCATGGATACATGAAAAGACATAGCAAATTGAGGCAAATAATGAATGAATGCATGAATTTAACAAGTGAAGGCAAGTAGCAAATAAAGCACATAACGAGTAATAACATGGAATAAAAGAGAGCATGGGATAAATGGAAACATGCAATTAAGTAGACCTCCCCACATGGTTAACCCATGCCAATGCATATATACTCTTCACCTTGAATATACGCCGTCCTCACACATAAATCACGTAGAAAATAGACCAATCATGTCCTAATTCCCTCAAGTGAAGGTTAACCATAACACTTACCTCTTTCCGAAATCAAATCAACAATCAACCACGGCTTTTCCTTTAGAAAAAGTCTTCAAACAAACTAAATCTATCAAAATATCATTCAAACAATCCAAAAAGAGCTTTAGAAACTTCCCGCAAATGAAATTGTTCAATTTTTAAATAAATTGAAAAAGTCATCAAAAAGTCAACTCGGGTCTATATGGTCGAAATCTGAGATTCCGACCAAATCCCGTTTACGCGTTCGCCCCCGAGCTCAGATATGTGATTTGTTTCAAAATCCGACATCAATTTGATGTCTAAATCTCAATTTTATAAATTTCCAAATCCTACCCAAAACCCCCAATTTCTACCTTGAAATTCATAAATATAATGTTAAAATTCATAAAAAAGTAATTGAAATTTAATAAAAACAAGTTAAAGTTGTATATCAATGGATTTGGGAAGAAAATGTTCTTGAAAATTTGCCTTTATATGGTCTAGGATTGAAAA